GACAAGCATCCCCTGCAAAATACTTGAAAGAATAATTAGGCTAAGACTTGTTGAGCACCTGGAGAGCATTGGGTTTGTAAACAAGCACCAACATGGGTTCTGGACAGGGAAATCATGCCTAACAAACCTTTTAGAATTCTATGATAAAGTAACAAGGATAAGGCAGGACAGAGAAGGCTGGGCAGACTGCATATTTCTTGACTGCCAAAAGGCCTTTGATACGGTACCGCACATGAGACTGCTATACAAACTTGAGAGGCAGGCAGGAGTAAGCGGAAAGGCCCTAGTATGGGTGAAGAACTACCTAACAGGAAGGAGCCAGAGGGTAATGGTAAGGGGCGAAAAGTCGGACTGGCGAACAGTAACAAGTGGAGTACCTCAAGGATCGGTGCTGGGACCAATCCTCTTTCTAATTTACGTAAATGATATGTTTACAGGAGTGGAATCATACATGTCAATGTTTGCAGATGACGCAAAATTAATGAGAAGAGTTGTGACAGACGAGGATTGTAGGATCCTCCAAGAGGACTTAAACAGGCTGCAGAGATGGTCAGGGAAATGGCTACTGGAGTTTAACACCAGTAAATGTAAAGTTATGGAAATGGGATCAGGTGACAGGAGACCAAAGGGACAGTACACAATGAAGGGGAACAGCCTACCTGTAACGATTCGAGAAAGAGACCTGGGAGTGGATGTGACACCTAATCTAACTCCTGAGGCACATATAAATAGGATAACGACAGCAGCGTACTCTACACTGGCGAAAATTAGAACTTCATTCAGAAACCTAAATGAGGAAGCTTTTAGGGCGCTTTACACTGCCTACGTGAGACCCGTCTTAGAGTATGCCGCGCCATCATGGAGCCCCCACCTGAAGAAACACATAAAGAAACTGGAGAAGGTTCAGAGGTTTGCGACGAGGCTTGTCCCAGAGCTACGAGGGATGGGATATGAAGAGCGGCTGAAGGAACTGAACCTTACGACACTAGAGAAAAGAAGGGAGAGAGGAGATATGATAGGGACATATAAAATACTCAGGGGAATTGACAAAGTGGAAATAGATGAAATGTTCACACGTAATAATAACAGAACGAGGGGACATGGGTGGAAACTGGAAACTCAGATGAGTCACAGAGATGTTAGGAAGTTTTCTTTTAGCGTGAGAGTAGTAGAAAAATGGAATGCACTTGGGGAACAGGTTGTGGAAGCAAATACTATTCATACTTTTAAAACTAGGTATGATAGGGAAATGGGACAGGAGTCATTGCTGTAAACAACCGATAGCTAGAAAGGCGGGATCCAAGAGTCAATGCTCGATCCTGCAAGCACATATAGGTGAGTACATATAGGTGAGTACACACACACACACACACATACACATGCCACACACACACACACACACACACACACACACACCACACACACACACACACACACACACTTCACACACTTGTAAATACACACACATCACAGAACACCACATACAGGCCAATCTGGAGTATGCAGCCCCAGCATGGAGTCCATATCTAGTCAAGCACAAGACTAAACTGGAAAAGGTTCAAAGGTTTGCCACCAGACTAGGTCCCCGAGCATGAGCTACGAGGAGAGACTACGGGAATTAAACCTCACTTCGCTGGAAGACAGAAGAGTTAGGGGGGACATGATCACCACATTCAAGATTCTGACAGGGAATTGATAGGGTAGACGAAGACAGTCTATTTAACACAACACACGCACAAGGGGACACAGGTGGAAACTGAGTGCCCAAATGAGCCACAGAGATATTAGAAAGAACTTTTTTAGTGTCAGAGTGGTTGACAAATGGAACATTAGGGGGTGATGTGGTGGAGGCTGACTCCATACACAGTTTCAAGTGTAGATATGACAGAGCCCGATAGGCTCAGGAATCTGTACACCTGTTGATTGACGGTTGAGAGGCGGGACCAAAGAGCCAGAGCTCAACCCCCGCAAACACAACTAGGTGAGTACAACAGACGGGGGCACATACACAAAGCGACAAGGAAATCTGCGACACTGAATGCAAAATTCCATGGAGTGTTCACAACCGAGCCTGAGCAGCTCCCATTGTTAGAAGAGATTACCCAAGATGAAAGACTATCGGATATAGAGGTGACAGCAGAGGATGTAATGAAACAGTTGACAACACTGGATGCAAATAAAGCTGTTGGACCAGACAAAGTATCACCGTGGATACTCAAAGAGGCAGCGCAGGCTCTCAGCGTGCCTCTGGCAATGATCTTTAATGAGTCACTTATGTCGGGAGAATTGCCCAGTTGCTGGAAGGAGGCAAATGTCGTACCGATTTTCAAAAAGGGTGATAGGGAGGAGGCACTTAACTACAGACCCGTATCACTGACAAGCATCCCCTGCAAAATACTTGAAAGAATAATTAGGCTAAGACTTGTTGAGCACCTGGAGAGCATTGGGTTTGTAAACAAGCACCAACATGGGTTCTGGACAGGGAAATCATGCCTAACAAACCTTTTAGAATTCTATGATAAAGTAACAAGGATAAGGCAGGACAGAGAAGGCTGGGCAGACTGCATATTTCTTGACTGCCAAAAGGCCTTTGATACGGTACCGCACATGAGACTGCTATACAAACTTGAGAGGCAGGCAGGAGTAAGCGGAAAGGCCCTAGTATGGGTGAAGAACTACCTAACAGGAAGGAGCCAGAGGGTAATGGTAAGGGGCGAAAAGTCGGACTGGCGAACAGTAACAAGTGGAGTACCTCAAGGATCGGTGCTGGGACCAATCCTCTTTCTAATTTACGTAAATGATATGTTTACAGGAGTGGAATCATACATGTCAATGTTTGCAGATGACGCAAAATTAATGAGAAGAGTTGTGACAGACGAGGATTGTAGGATCCTCCAAGAGGACTTAAACAGGCTGCAGAGATGGTCAGGGAAATGGCTACTGGAGTTTAACACCAGTAAATGTAAAGTTATGGAAATGGGATCAGGTGACAGGAGACCAAAGGGACAGTACACAATGAAGGGGAACAGCCTACCTGTAACGATTCGAGAAAGAGACCTGGGAGTGGATGTGACACCTAATCTAACTCCTGAGGCACATATAAATAGGATAACGACAGCAGCGTACTCTACACTGGCGAAAATTAGAACTTCATTCAGAAACCTAAATGAGGAAGCTTTTAGGGCGCTTTACACTGCCTACGTGAGACCCGTCTTAGAGTATGCCGCGCCATCATGGAGCCCCCACCTGAAGAAACACATAAAGAAACTGGAGAAGGTTCAGAGGTTTGCGACGAGGCTTGTCCCAGAGCTACGAGGGATGGGATATGAAGAGCGGCTGAAGGAACTGAACCTTACGACACTAGAGAAAAGAAGGGAGAGAGGAGATATGATAGGGACATATAAAATACTCAGGGGAATTGACAAAGTGGAAATAGATGAAATGTTCACACGTAATAATAACAGAACGAGGGGACATGGGTGGAAACTGGAAACTCAGATGAGTCACAGAGATGTTAGGAAGTTTTCTTTTAGCGTGAGAGTAGTAGAAAAATGGAATGCACTTGGGGAACAGGTTGTGGAAGCAAATACTATTCATACTTTTAAAACTAGGTATGATAGGGAAATGGGACAGGAGTCATTGCTGTAAACAACCGATAGCTAGAAAGGCGGGATCCAAGAGTCAATGCTCGATCCTGCAAGCACATATAGGTGAGTACATATAGGTGAGTACACACACACACACACACACACACACACACACACACACACACACACACACACACACACACACAAATGTAGATATGATAGAGCCCAGTAGGCTCAGGAATCTGTACACCAGTTGATTGACAGTTGAGAGGCGGGACCAAAGAGCCAAAGCTCAACCCCCGCAAGCACAATTAGGTGAGTACAATTAGGTGAGTACACAAATAGACACAAAGAGAGACACACACCCACACACGCATCCATAAAGCTCAGTAGGCTCAGGAATCTGCACACCAGTTGATTGACAGTTGAGAGGCGGGACCAAAGAGCCAGAGCTTTACCCCGGCCCCCCGCCAGCATAACTAGGTGAGCTCACACACCCACGCACAAACACAAACTTGCCCAAGACATAGAGATGTTAAGAAATTTTCTTTTAGCCTGAGAATAGTGGGGAAATAGAATGAACTAAAGAAGCACATTGTGGAAGCAAACACTATTCATAGCTATAAAACTAGGTATGATAGAGAGGTGGGACAGGACTCATTGTTTTAAACAACCGAAGGCTAGAAAGGCGGGATCCAAGAACCAACGCACAATAGGTGAGTACAAATAGGTGATTACACACACACACACACACACACACACACACACACACACACACACACACACACACACACAGGGGCCGGTGGCTGAGTGGACAGAACGCTGTACACGTAATCCTATGGACTGGGGTTCGATCCCGGCGCTGGCGAGAAACTATTTGCAGAGTTTCTTTCACCCTGATGTACTTATTACCTAGCAGTAAATAGGTCCCTGGGAGTTAGACAGCTGTAACGGGCTGCTTCCTGGATGTCTGTGTGTGTGTGGAAAAAAAATGTTAGTAGTTAGTAACTGTTGAATGATTGGCAGTTGAGAGGCGGGCCGACAGAGCAGAGCTCAACCCCCGCAAGCACAGCTAGGTGAATACACACACACACACACACACACACACACACACACACACACACACACACACACACACACACACACACACACACACACACACACACACACACACGCTATACAGAAGCAAAAACAAGAAGTAAAAGTTGAAATAGCAGTTGAAATCATATTTAGGTTGTAACTCTGCACTGTTGTAGATAATGTTCCGGAGGTCTGGCTTGGGCACTTGTCCACAAGGCTGTCATTCCCTGTCCTCTTCTGGAAACTGGAAACCTATTTTCCATGCACTCCGAGCTTGATGCGGTGTAAGCGACTTCTCTTTATCCCTTGTTCCCTTTTCATCAAAATAAGTGATCAGTAGATGGGTACATTCTTGTACCAACTCGCAGATCCTGATGTTGCCGCAGCTGCTCTGATGATGATGATGATGATGAGTTTAGTGTTCATGAAGTTGATGAGGTGCTTCAGCTGGGTAATGTTTGTGACATAAGCGTTATTGGTGCTGTTTGCTCACAAAACATTCTTATGTTAATCATCATGTATCGGGATGTTTCATTTGTTGACCAGACCACACACTAGAAATTGAAGGGACGACGACGTTTCGGTCCGTCCTGGACCATTCTCAAGTCGATTGTGATGAGGCTCCAGATTGTCAACATACATCAGCCACGTTATTGTGACTCATCGCCTGCATAGGGATGTTTCATCTCTGTATAATTGGCTCATCATGTATCGGGATGTTTCATCTCTGTATAATTGGCACAGCTATTGAAGAGAATAATAGAACATCAAGGGCAGCACTGTAGTGGTGACCTTGTTGTTGTTGTTGTTAGTTCTGCTGCTGATGAGTGTTTTGTTTACAGTAGATGTTTTGTCCACAATTTCAATATTGGCTCAAATAATGTTGTTTGTCCTTATACTGACGGGAGATTGAGCTCTGTTTTGCGTTAATATTGTCATTATTTGTTACTCGTGTCTGTATTTCCTTTTGAAGAATACTGAGTGCCTAAGGCATAGGAAGGAATCAATATTGTATTGGCACTCGTCTTCTAGGAATTACTCCAATTTCTAAAAATCCTGATAAAGAATCTAATCATCATGTCTCGTTTCTTCTACTTGTTACGGAGAGAGCGGAAGTGGTCAAGATTGTCTTTTTAGTGTTTTAAACTTTCATTTACAGTGTGTCTGGAAGAGTTTGAAGGTTATCTCATTGTATTTATAAAGTAATTTCCATAAAAACTAAATATCATTGCCTAATCTTAAAAAAAATTGAAGTCGAGACTATTTTTTGTGATTAAGACGTTATTAAAATATATTGAACGTTAATTGCAACCCTGGTAAAGGGTAGGGACATCCGGGCATGCTAGCTTCTAATTCTTCATTATTAATGTACCCAAATTTATGCACTTATTAAAAGATGTAAGGTAATACATCAACAAACCCAATCGGGGAAAATGTTATTTATAAATAATATCTACTTTCATCTCGATGTTTTTTATGTTTATCTTAAAATAAACAGTCGATTCAACTTGAGAAATCAACTTGAATCGACTTGAGAATGGTCCAGGACGGACTGAAACGTCGTCGTCCTTCACCTTCTAGTGTGTGGTCTGGTCAACATACTAAAGCCACGTTATTGTGACTTATCGCCTGCTTAAAATAAACACATTTGCCGATGGTCGCTGCCGTGAAATCACCAGGTTTGGTGACTAGTTTCACTCATGTTATCACCAAACGGATAGTGAACAATATCTGGGTTCAAGTTTCATTTGTGCATTTTCGTCCCCACATTACAAAAGTACAGTGAAATGTAGTGAATCGCAACAATCCATATTTTCTATGCCCCAGTAGGATAGGTTGGGTGGGTGCCTTGGGTTCGTGCGTTTCTGGTTAGTTTAGCCTAGCTTAGCTTAGCTTAGCTTAGCAATTTGAGTTGTGTCCGTTGAGGCAAATCAAGACTGTACTTCTCCAAGACAAAACAAAGCTTTTCTGGTTGTCGCCGTCGTTAACAAGTCAGCATTTGACTTGTACGTCGATAGGATAGTTTAGATGCAGTGTAATAAACACGGATTTCCTTCATTTATTACCTAATTTCATTACTTATTTCAGGGTTTATACATAGGCCTAGGCAAGGTTAGGTAAGGTGTTTACGTTACATTTATATAGTGTGTGTTTACTCTGCACGTATCGAGCAATAGCCTCAAACAGTTTCAATTAGCGATTGCGAGAGTAAAAAATTTTCCTCACAATATATAAATAAAAAATTAAGTTTAAAGTTGATCTCCATCTAATGTGACATCTAAGTAACCTGTCACGGTGCGTTAATTTACCAAAGAGGAGCCCTGGTTCGATCCTCAAGGCGGCAGTTTGGGTAATCATTGAAAATATACAACACAACAAAATTCAGTTTGAACCAAGTTCAGTACCCAGTATCTTTTGGTCAACCAAATTACTTAGACAATTACCAAAGTGCCGGGCGTCATCGTAGGACGGCTTGAGGGAAGGGAATTATCAGGGGGGAAAGCGCCAAGCTATTAAGACCATTAAGACTACCTACTGTCTCAGTACTATATATATATATATATATATATATATATATATATATATATATATATATATATATATATATATATATATATATGTCGTACCTAGTAGCCAGAACGCACTTCTCAGACTACTATGCAAGGCCCGATTTGCCTAATAAGCCAAGTTTTTATGAATTAATTGTTTTTCGACTACCTAACCTACCTAACCTAACCTAACCTAACTTTTTCTGCTACCTAACCTAACCTAACCTATAAAGATAGGTTAGGTTAGGTAAGGTAGGGTTGGTTAGGTTCAGTCATATATCTACGTTAATTTTAACTCCAATAAATAAAACTGACTTCATACGTAATGAAATGGGTAGCTCCATCATTTCATAAGAAAAAAATTAGAGAAAATATATTAATTCAGGAAAACTTGGCTTATTAGGCAAATCGGGCCTTACATAGTAGGCCGAGAAGTGCGTTCTGGCTACTAGGTACGACATATATATATATGTCGTACCTAGTAGCCAGAACGCACTTCTCGACTTATTATGCAAGGTCCGATTTGCCTAATAGGCCGAGGGTTTTTTTTATATTTTCAATCAGTTGTTTCCAATTAGTTTATTTGAATTGTTATTATTATATTATATTGAGAACTTAAATTATTGACTTAATTGTGTTAGTTTAGGTTAGGTTAAGTTAGGTTAGGTAGGGTTGGTTAGGTTCGGTCATATATCTACGTTAGTTTTAACTCAAATTTAAACAGATGAACTTATACATAATGAAATGGATAGCTTTATCATCTCATAAGAAAAAAAAGAGTAAAATATATAAATTCAGGAAATTTGGCTTATTAGAGAAATCGGGCCTTGCATAGTAGGCTGAGAATTGCGTTCTGGCTACTAGGTACAATATATATATATATATATATATATATATATATATATATATATATATATATATATATATATATATATATATATATATATATATATATATATATATTGTAGCTCTTGGAAGGGGATCAGGATTTCGGATGGAAGGGGGGGGGGGGGGGGGGGGGGGGGGAATTGTGGCCAACCACTTGGACGGTCGGAGATTGAACGCTGATCTGCGTCAAGCGAAACCGTCGTGGCTTGAGGGGGGAATAACAAATATGCGACTTCATTTACAGTACGATGGAACATCCGTGTGTCTTGGCAATTGGTAAATAAGGAATATATTAGCAAAAGCCTTACTGGAGAATTGAACCCGTGCCTCCTAAATGATTGCCCTGTAACGCTTCAACTCCGATATGGTATTTAAATGATTAATGGCCCTTCGACCCAGATGCATTTCTCAGCCTCATGCATGAGAGATATTGGATAGAACTCAATTTGAAGTAAATGTTAAAGGTCGGCTAACTATATTGGAAGCAAAGGGTGATAATGGGACTATCTTAATTGAAAACAAAAGATGAAGGGATGCTAATTCATCTGTAAAAGAAGGTAGAAGGGAAGCTAACTCGTCTGGAGCCCAAGGCTGAAGGCTAACTCATCTGGAAACAAAGGTAGTGGGGAGGGTAATTCGCCTGGAAATATAATTTGAGGAAAGGCTGTCTTATCTCAAAAAAAACGTCGAAGGCAACCTAACTCGTCTAGAAACAAAGGCTGAAAGGAAGCTAATTCATCTGGAAGCAGAGATTGAAGGGTGGTTAACTCGCCTGGAAGCCAAGGTTAAAGGAACACTAACTAGTGTACATTTACTCTACAACAATAACATAAACACGAGAACATTCGTGTTATCATGGTAATCATAATTAATTAAAACAGTTTATGCTGCGTTCACTTTTAATATCACCATTAGTAAGAATTAGCAATTTAAAAATATTAATAGCTCCATCATGATCTGTATTACACATTATAATGTTATTACGCGCCACTTCGGGACATTCAACATTTAATAATGTGCACCGCACATTATTAATGACTGAACAATGCTCTGGCGACTCAGGACTTGAATGAAAATATGTGATATTAGCGAGTAAGGCCAACACAGCGTGAAGCCAGGATTAGCGCTTCCAACTTACTCAACTACAAGTATTCGTTTGGGATGTTTAAGGCTCGCTAGGCCTTGTATTTGAACTTATGAAGCAAGTGAGAAGGACTGTTCTCACTACATGCAGAACGTAGTGTACGTCCATAAGTAATTAACATTTTTAATATATTTATTATTTTTAATAAATGCTAAACTCAGTTTATACAAGACACACACATTTGAACACATACACACAAGCACGAATACACACACACACACACACACACACACACACACACACACACACACACACACACACACACACACACACACACACACACACACACACACACACACACACACACACACACACACACACACACACACACACACACACACACACACACACACACACGTACAGCTTATTGTACCAAAGTAACAAGGAACTGTTGTGTGCAACTTACTTGGCCACAAATTCTCTTTCGCACAACGGTGTACTGGAATCTGACTCGATTCTGAACGGAAATGCTGGGAATCCGTGCAACATGGGCCGAATTCTTCATGGGGAATACCTTTGCCTCGCCTTGTTGTAGGTTCGAGGAATGAACAGGCTTGCTATTGAGTTTATCATTAGTTTAAGAGTTTACAAAGTTCTTTAACATTAGTTTGAGAGCTTACAAACAGTTTAACATTAAATGTCTGTATAAAACTATTATTAATAATGCAATTAGTAATGCAATTATAACTAATTATTACAATTATTGCATTATTACTAATTATATTTGATTTTAGGAATTTATTACTTAATATAATAAAGAGATATATTAAAAAATGTACTTAATAATTTGAACATGTTGATCTATTTTTTTAATAAAGTCTTATCACTGAAACGACCAAGGACTACATTGAGAAGCGTCTTTCAGTGTATTAAAAAAAAACATTGTCATTTTGCTAACCCTCAATTCCCAATATAAAAGAAACACAATAAAATTCAGAGTCATTGTCACTGCTGGGGATGAAATATGATAACTTGCACTCTAATGACCTCAGAACCCATGATCAATGGCCCTGCAATATCCTCCAATAGATTAGTGCATCGATGGCAGTCACTAAATTATCTGGCCAGCTGAGTATCTCGCTCGTATAGTGTCTGTGATGTCTGTACTTGTATATTTTTTTATGTCTGTTTCTATTCAAGTTTCTGCTTTTGTTGGCTCGAAATATCGTTGTGTGCACGTTTCTCTCTCTTTTTTTCTGTGTCACTGTTTCTCCCAAGTTTTTATTTTCTGTTTGGTTTTGTTCGTTGTCTCCTATTTTGTGCCCAAGCTTGTTTCTATCTCATTTTTCCTGTGTGTTCCTGTTACTGTATATACTCATTTTTCAGTTGTTTATATTGTTAATATTTCTTTAATTTGGTTAACTAATGGTTACAAATCTTCCACAAGCTCCAAAAAAAAAAAAATGCAAAAATTTAGAATTTAGTCAACTGAAGTGAAGCATCAATGAGCTAAAAGGTCAAAAGTCCTTTTACGCAAATTATCTTTAAAACCTAAGCGAAAGTCAGTGAACTCGAACAGTGCAGGATTTTATATATATATATATATATATATATATATATATATATATATATATATATATATATATATATATATATATTTTTTTTTTATTCATCTAACTTAACGTTGCTTGCACCTTATTTCTCAATGAAAATATTCACTGCATCCAATATCTTCTCATCTCACTAATCATCTCTCTCCCTTACCCCTGTGATCACTACGAACCATGTTCTCAACACGTTCCTCCACATTTTGTTTGTGCTCACAGCTCGCGTTTATTTCTCCTCGTCCAAGCCCGTGAAGGATAGTGACGTTCTTAAAATATATAACAACATAATTTCAGCCTGCCGGGGTATATTTGATCAATATGACCTTGATATTCGGTAAATTCGGTCTCTCTCTCTCTCTCTCTCTCTCTCTCTCTCTCTCTCTCTCTCTCTCTCTCTCTCTCTCTCTCTCTCTCTCTCTCTCTCTCTCTCTCTCTCTGTCTCCACTAGAATATTATTAACAACAATAATTCCATAGACAAATTGGGCAAACAATTTGTCTAACATATTTTTATCAAGTCAAACAAATCTCTAACAAGAAGAAAATAATTTTATAAAACCTAGAAACAATTTCAAGAAGGCGGATGCTTTAATTTCTTCCCTAAATTTAGTGTTGGACTTAATTAAGGCCTATCAAACGCACGCGGGTTGGTTATTAAGGCCGGGGCTCTAGCTGGCTGACCAATCAGTAGGAGTACTGTAGCCCTGAACATAGTCCAGGGCTACAGTAGGAGTACTGTAGCCCTGAATATAGTCAGGGCTACAGTGGGAGTACTGTAGCCCTGAACATAGTCCAGGGCTACAGTGGGAGTACTGTAGCCCTGAACATAGTCCAGGGCTACAGTGGGAGTACTGTAGCCCTGAACATAGTCCAGGGCTACAGTGGGAGTACTGTAGCCCTGAACATAGTCCAGGGCTACAGTGGGAGTACTGTAGCCCTGAACATAGTCCAGGGCTACAGTAGGAGTACTGTAGCCCTGAACATAGTCCAGGGCTACAGTGGGAGTACTGTAGCCCTGAACATAGTCCAGGGCTACAGTGGGAGTACTGTAGCCCTGAACATAGTCCAGGGCTACAGTGGGAGTACTGTAGCCCTGAACATAGTCCAGGGCTACAGTGGGAGTACTGTAGCCCTGAACATAGTCCAGGGCTACAGTGGGAGTACTGTAGCCCTGAACATAGTCCAGGGCTACAGTGGGAGTACTGTAGCCCTGAACATAGTCCAGGGCTACAGTGGGAGTACTGTAGCCCTGAACATAGTCCAGGGCTACAGTGGGAGTACTGTAGCCCTGAACATAGTCCAGGGCTACAGTGGGAGTACTGTAGCCCTGAACATAGTCCAGGGCTACAGTGGGAGTACTGTAGCCCTGTACATAGTCCAGGGCTACAGTGGGAGTACTGTAGCCCAGATATTTTTCTCGGAATCCCATTTATTATTCGTCTATTTTATTTATTTGTTATATTTCTTTACAATATTTATTTTTCATTTAAAACTTCTTTAAACTTTAGGCTTATCAAACTTACATTTCAGTGAAAAGTCATTAAAATAACGCATATTTTTACTACTTTCTTTAACCCAAAAGCAATGGCAGCAACAATAAATAATAACGCTAATACAAAATGCTTTGTTAATAAGGAATTTTATACATAAAAATATAAATAAACAGCAATATTTAACAAAGATGGGATGAGATCCCTAAGTTCCCAGCATCTCGGGAGCATCTTCGTAAACAACATTCCAAAATCGAAGACGTTCCGTTTGCTGGCGTCGCAATGAGAAACTTTCGTCCATTTCTGGACGAAAGTTCAATTTCGAACTTGTTCGAACTTTCTGGACGATGAAAGTTCAAACTTTCTGGACGAAAGTCCAATTTTGGATAACCAATTTTCACTCTAAAAAGGGTGAAAATTGTGATCTGTGAGTGTGTGAAAAACTTGCATATTATTAGTGAATTGAGGTCGACACCGTGACTCTTAGCATATGTTGAGTACCACTTCAAGTGTTTCTTGTATGGGTACTAACCTAGTTGTGCTGACGGGGGTTGAGCTTTAGCGCTTTGGTCTCGCCTCTCAACTGTCAATTACACTGGTATGTGTGTGTGTATATATATATACTATTTGTATTTACTATTTGTATCTGCAGAATCAAGCTATTAGCTCTTGGACTCCGTCTTTCTAACCAATTTATTTTTCCTCTATTATGTCCACTACATATATTTCTCTCTAACATACACACATCCCCAGGAAGCAGGCCGTAGCAGCTGTCTAACTCGCACGTACCTATTTACTGCTAGATGAACAGCTGCACCAGGGTGAAGGAAACTCTGCCCATTTGTTTCTGAATCAGCCAGGGATCGAACCCGGGCCCTTAGGACTACGACCCCAGAGCGCTGTTCACTCACCCGCGAGGCCCTTGTAAGTGTGTGAAGTGTGTGTGTGTGTGTGTGTGTACTCACCTAGTTACTCACCTAGTTGTGTCTGCAGGATCGAGCATTGACTCTTGGATCCCGCCTTTCGAGCATCGGTTGTTTGCAGCAATGACTTTGGTCCTATTTCCATATCATACCTAGTTTTAAAACTATGAATAGTATTTGCTTCCAAAACCTGTTCCTTAAGTGCGTTCCATTTTCCACACACACACACACACATGTGTGTGTGTGTGTTTGCTTTTTGCATTTACTCCCTCTCCCTCCCTCCCTGTTACCTAGCAGTAAAATAGGTACCTGGGTATTAGTCAGCTGTCACGGGCTGCTTCCTGGGGGTGGAGGCCTGGTCGAGGACCGGGCCGCGGGGACACTAAAGCCCCGAAATCATCTCAAGATAACCTCAAGATAACCTCCCTCCCTCCCCCTACGAGGAATCCTGTGTGCATTTTCGGTATGTGAAATGTTTATTACGACGAGGTGAGCATTTAAGTGAGGCGAAGGCTTATATTTGCCAGTATTCTACGAGAGACGTCTGCTCTGAACTTGGTAATGCCTTATTTAGGGCCATGGAAGCCATCCTCACTGCACTTCAGGGATCAGGAGGATTGATCAGCCACACGAAGTGAGACATTTTGGTGGAACTCATCAAAAGTTGAGGTCTATCAACCGTCAAACACGATAACAGATTGATGAGAAATGTTCAGCTTTGTAACTTTTTTATCAATCACCTCATCAATATAATTTAGAGGGCCTAATATCTAACCCTATTGACCCCGCTTCCACCAGACCTCGTCTCGACCTGACCTCCACCTGTGCGAACTGACATCCACCTGACCTCTCCTCCACCTGACCTCGCCTCTCCTGACCTGACCTCGCCTCCCCTGACCTCCACAAGACCTCTACTCCACCTGACCTCCACTTGACCTGACCTCCACCTGACTTGACCTCCACCTGACTTGACCTCCACAAGACCTCTACTCCACCTGACCTCCACTTGACCTGACCTCCTTAAGACCTCTACTCCATCTGACCTCCACCTGACCTGACTTCAACCTGACCTGACCTCCAACTGACCTGACCTCAATCTGACCTGACCTCACATACGCCTGACTTGACCTCCGCTTCATGTGACCTCCACCTGACCTGACCTCCACCTGATCACACCTTACAGCTGGACCACCACCACTACAACAGCTGGACCACAACTACAACAGCTGGACCACCACCACTACAACAGCCGGACCACCACCACTACAACAGCTGGACCACCACCACTACAACAGCTGGACCACCACCACTACAACAGCTGGCCCACCACCACTACAACAGCTGGACCACCACCACTACAACAGCTGGCCCACCACCACCACTACAACAGCTGGCCCACCACCACCACTACAACAGCTGGCCCACCACCACTACAACAGCTGGACCACCACCACTACAACAGCTGGTCCACCACACAACAGCAGCTGGCCCACCACTACAACAGCTGGACCACCACTACAACAGCTGGCACACCACCACTACAACAGCTGGACCCCTACCACTACAACAGCTGGATCACCACCACTACAACAGCTGGACCACCGCCACTACAACAGCTGGACCACCACCACCACAACAGCTGGACCACCACCACCACAACAGCTGGCCCACCACCACCACAACAGCTGGCCCACCACACCACAACAGCTGGACCACCACCACTACAGCAGCTGGCCCACCACTACAACAGCTGGACCACCACCACTACAGCAGCTGGCCCACCACTACAACAGCTGGACCACCACCACCACTACAACAGCTGGCCCACCACCACTACAACAGCTGGACCACCACCACCACAACAGCTGGACCACCACCACCACTACAACAGCTGGCCCACCACCACTACAACAGCTGGACCACCACCACCACAACAGCTGGCCCACCACCACCACTACAACAGCTGGACCACCACCACTACAACAGCTGGACCACCACCACTACAACAGCTGGTCCACCACCACCACTACAACAGCTGGCCCACCACCACCACTACAACAGCTGGCCCACCACCACCACTACAACAGCTGAACCACCACCACTACAACAGCTGGCCCACCACCACCACTACAACAGCTGGCCCACCACCACCACTACAACAGCTGGCCCACCACCACTACAACAGCTGACCCACCACTACAACAGCTGGCCCACCACCACCACTACAACAGCTGGACCACCACCACTACAACAGCTGGACCACCACCACTACAACAGCTGGCCCACCACCACCACTACAACAGCTGGCCCACCACCACCACTACAACAGCTGGCCCACCACCACTACAACAGCTGGACCACCACCACCACAACAGCTGGACCACCACCACCACAACAGCTGAACCACCACCACCACTACAACAGCTGGACCACCACCACCACAACAGCTGGACCACCACCACCACTACAACAGCTGGACCACCACCACTACAACAGCTGGACCACCACAACTACAACAGCTGGCCCACCACCACCACTACAACAGCTGGCCCACCACCACTACAACAGCTGGCACACCACCACCACTACAACAGCTGGCCCACCACCACCACTACAACAGCTGGACCACCACCACTACAACAGCTGGCCCACCACCACCACTACAACAGCTGGACCACCACCACTACAACAGCTGGCCCACCACCACCACTACAACAGCTGGCCCACCACCACCACTACAACAGCTGGACCACCACCACCACTACAACAGCTGGCCCACCACCACCACTACAACAGCTGGACCACCACCACTACAACAGCTGGACCACCACCACTACAACAGCTGGACTACCACTACAACAGCTGGACCACCACCACTACAACAGCTGGACTACCACTACAACAGCTGGACCACCACCACTACAACAGCTGGACCACCACCACTACAACAGCTGGACCTCCACCACTACAACTGCTGGACCACCACCACTACAACAGCTGGACCACCACCACTACAACAGCTGGACCACCACCACTACAACAGCTGGACCACCACCACTACAACAGCTGGACCACCACCACTACAACAGCTGGACCACCACCACCACCACTACAACAGCTGGACCACCACCACCACTACAACAGCTGGACCACCACCACCACTACAACAGCTGGCCCACCACCACTACAACAGCTGGCCCACCACACTACAACAGCTGGCCCACCACCACTACAACAGCTGGCCCACCACACCACAACAGCTGGACCACCACCACTACAACAGCTGGCCCACCACCACTACAACAGCTGGACCACCACTACAACAACTGGACCACCACTACAACAGCTGGACCACCACCACTACAACAGCTGGCCCACTTTCCCCCTCTGCAGTAATCACACCGCAAAGGATCTCAGAACTTTGTAACAGCTTCCCCCTGAGGAAGCCTGTCAAAATTGCCTGCCCAGAGGAGTCGTTTCTACTTTGGACAGTCTCAATTAACCAGAATTAACCCGAAGGAAACATTGCCCAAAAGCTTTGACCTAATTGGGATGGTGAGATTATGAGGACAGACTTTTGGTGAAATTGGTAGGGAAAGGATGTTTTAAGGAGGGTGAATCATGAGCAGGTGTTAGGGGAGGTGAATCATGGGCAGGTGTTAGGGGGAGGTGAATCATGGGCAGGTGTTAGGGGGAGGTGAATCATGGGCAGGTGTTAGGGGGAGGTGAATCATGAGCAGGTGTTAGGGGAGGTGAATCATGGGCAGGTGTTAGGGGGAGGTGAATCATGGGCAGGTGTTAGGGGAGGTGAATCATGGGCAGGTGTTAAGGGAGGTGAATCTTGAGCAGGTGTTAGGGGAGGTAAATCGTGGACAAGTCTTAGGAAGAATGAATCCTGGAATCAGTGTTCAGACTTTTGAATCACATGAAAGATTTGTGAATACTGATTGTAAGAATGAGATGGTTGATATGGGAGAGAGATGGAACAGGGGGGTGATGGAACAGGGGGGTGATGG